CTAATACAATAGTCTTGGAATAATTCTCGATGCTTGTTTGGGAAAAAAATATAATGAAGAGTTGTAATAAGTCTCATGAAATGTATCGATGATTTGGTAATAACTGGGTAATATTTGTAAATTTGGTTAAAGGGAAAATTTGACTTTCCACGTGAAGTACGAGCTTCGTCCTTGGCCCGGAACTCATTCAATCCTAGAGAAGTAAGGATTCAGTCTTGCTTCGTGGCCCTTTGACTGAGATTTTAAAATATATGGTGATTGTATTGAAACCAAAACAAGCACTAAGCTTGGTTTGTCAGTGCTCAAATCTCACACCCATACAGTAAATAAGTGTTGCTATTGATAAATTTAAGGTTAGTTTCGATTCTTCTTGTGTCACTTTGAAAGACATAAGATAATTAGATTGTGAGTAACAATCAAACGTCATGTTAGCCTTGATTTAGTATTCTCGAGTCACATTCAACGTAGGTGATGGCAAATGGTCAAATGTTATGTAGTGTCATTGGTGTTTAGCACCATAACATAGCATTTAATGACATTTCGTTGTCAAGAAGCATTATCTAAAGCAAAGATCCGAAAAGAAGTTATAGCATGAAAAGAGTAATGCTATTCATTATTGGTAGAGATCATAACGAGATATATAGTGGGTTTCTCAATTCATTGTTCAATGAATTTGTGATGAATTTCAATATACAAAGCAATGAGTTAAAGGGCTCACTATTATTTAAGTTGATGATAGTCATTATTGATTGTGAATAACAATATGTGGTGTGAAACAATGGGTTTCATTAAACTACAAGAGAGCACCCATTGCATAAACGATTTGTTTTTGCAAGTGTGTAATTGCATTGTTTTTTGATTTGGTTCTGATCATGAGTTGAGGAAAAATAATCTAACTTCTATCAAAAAGGGGAAGCAGTTGCTACTGTAGAAGGAATAGTAAACCAATCCCAAGTTACTGTACAAGAGAAAAAATGGCGTCATTTTTTATTTTTGTTTAACTTTTTCATTCTCCATTTTCATACGTTATGGCCATGCCTTTTCTAGTCTCTGGAGATGAAATATCTACAATAGTGTTGAATCCCATTCTTTTATCCCATCCCGATTTTAATAGCTTCAAAATTATTTCAATTTCAACACGTAACCATTGTTTCAATTTCTCTTTCTCCTATCTACAATCTTCTATTTCTCTATTTTTCACACAAAAATCAGAGACTACATGCAACCCCTTTTTCACACAAAAATCAGAGCCTATTTTATTAATAAATAATTGCAATTTGGTAATTTGAACAATGTTGCGAGAGGTTGATCAAGATCGATGTAGGCAATTTGTAATTTCAATTTGGTAATTTGATCAATGTAGACATTTTCTTAATAGAGTGCATGGGCACCTAGGCTGCTCGAGAGAGGGAGCCTGCGAGTGTAGTAGTGCAAGAAAGAAAATAAGGGAAGACAGTTGTATAACATTATAATGCAAATTTTGTAATTTTGTAATAATGAGATGCATTGTTCACTACCTTGAATAACCTATGGTCTTATTATTTTTTCTCAAGCATGCAGCACTTACTAATTTGGATGCTTCCACCTCATTCTTTGGTGTTTATGATGGTCATGGGGGTAAGTTTTTCTACTTCTGCTGTTGTTATATTGCATACTAAATTAGGGTGCATGCCATTTACCATGGCACGAATATTTTGAATACAAATCGGCATTCCTTAGCATATACCTATGATTCAAAAGATATGACTAGGCAAAAGAAAGATGAAGTGTTGACCGTAGGCATTTGTATACCATAATCTATGTCATGAGATCTTGTACTCACAAGTCACAATACAGATCCATTAAAGATTATAATTAGTTTGAATTGAAATAATGTTTTGCTGTAAATCAAGTTTTGCTACCCAATTTCTTTGTTGTTTGGTCAGTACGTTATTGTTCTCTTATCAATGCATTGAATTTCACAGGTAAGGTGGTTGCCAAATTTTATGCTAAATATCTTCATCGGCAAATTCTCAAGCATGAAGCATATTTGACTGGTGACATAGGTACTTCTGTTCAGAAAGCTTTTCTCAGATCATTTTCTAATCTCTGGTAGTCTTTAAGAGCTTATGTTTGTGTTTAGTGTATGCATATTTTTCTTTTAAATGATGAATTCTATATAATAGGTCTTCTTTGAATGGCATAACTACTTTCAACAGCTTTATCATGAGATACTTGCAACTTACTTTAAGAGAAGCAAACTTATTTTGATTTAGGCAATTGTGTGGAAAGTTGTTTCTCCCAATTGGATTGTTGAATTTAAAATTTATTGCAATTGGTTGTTTTATCCTTTTTTTTAATATATATAAACTAGGAAAAAAAACTCCGCACTTTGCGAAGCCATCTCTCCGCATAGTGCGGAGCCATCTTTCTGTAAAATTTTGCACTTTTGCCTTTGAAACATATTGATAGAGACAACTACATTTCAATGCAGGTTCAAAATCTTATTCTTGATATGGCAATGTGCTTTTGGCAACTCTCATGGTATCTCGGTCTTCAAGCATTGCGGGGACTCCGCACAAAATTGGTGTGGGGAGTCCCTGCACAAAATTGGTGTGGGGAATCCCCACAAAGTCGTACGGAGTCCCTGCACGAAATTGGTGTGGGGAGTCCCTGCACAGTCGAGTGGAGTCCCCGCACCAATTTCGTGCGGGGACCAATCTGTGGGACACTTCGCACACTGCACACATTTCACACCGTCGCAATTTTTTTTTTTTTAGAGTAATTAGACTAAGTACATTAATTATTATTAATGATTTTTTTTTTAAATTCTATAAATAACAATTTCGAAGAAGGGGATATTGATAATGTCATGTCATTGCTTTCACAAATGGAGGCTCTAGAAAGAATATTGGCAGACATTATTTTCAATGAAATTATACTTTCAGGTTGTAGTCAGGAATTAAACTGTTAATACATTGCTCAAAAGTTGTTTAGAAAAGGCTTTTACAACTTACAAATAAAATCTAGAGATTATTAGATGATTCGGGTTTGGTAAGGAATCGCAAAACATTAATACTTATTGACTATTATGTTCACACGAATAAGGTAAAAGATACTTGGTTAGTTATTTCTCAGATGAAGAAAAAAGAGTACTAGCTAGATTCTTTTGTATATAATAAGATTATTAAAGTTTATAAAGATAATGGGATGTGGAAGAAAGCAATGTGTACGGAGTGTGTGGAGTAAGTCCACACTTTTTGGGATTAACTCCGCACTTTGCTCACACGAACTGCAGAGCAAATTTTTATTTTTATTTTTATTTTTTTTTGTTTTTTGAAAAGTTTTTGAAGGAATGTCTAAAAATATTTCCATGATATAAGAAAATAATTGTAAATTATTTTTACAATTGCATAGCAGTATGTTATCTAGAAAAATATGCTTGTATATTTCATGTTTGAATAAGAAATATACAAACTATTAGTGTTGATATGATTGAATTGAATGTGAAGATTATATTTCTAAATTTTGTATAATTCAATATTGTAAAATTGAAAAAAAAAAAACTCTTTGCATGGTGCGGAGACAGTTCAACCAAGTGCGAAGTAAAAATAAAAAATAAAAAAACATGTGGAGAGAAAAAAAAAAACTTTGGCATGATGCGTGTGTGGAAGAATATTTGTCAATTATGATAAAAAAAAATTCTTCACAAAATGTAAAAAATAAAAATATATAATAAATTTTCTTATTACGCTAATAAAATTACAATAAATTTATTTTTTTACAAATAATATTAAAAAAATTATTTTTATTTTCAAGAAAAAAATACATTTAAAAATTAGCAATCTCATAACATTTTTTTTAATTCTCGAAAATAGAATTATAAAAAATGAAACAATATTGAATTAAACATTTAATACTCAAGAAATTTAATATTAAATAATTTTATACATTTATAACAAATTATAAATTAGCTTACCGTATTTGCAGGCAGCTTACCGTATATGCTGCCTACCATATTTGCAAGCTATCGTATTTGTAAATAACTTACCATATTTACAGTCTACCATATTTGTAAACAACTTATCATATTTGCTGCTTACTGTATTTGCAACTTACTGTATTTATCGCTTACCGTATTTGCTGGCTACTGTATGTGCAAACAACTTACCGTATTTGCTGCCTACTGTATTTACAACTTACCGTATTTACTGTCTATCGTATTTGCAGGCTACCATATTTGCAAACAACTTACCATATTTATAGCTTACCGTATTTGCACCTTACCGTATTGCTGCCTACCGTATTTGTAGCTTACTGAATTTTTTATATACAAATTTTTGCACTTACAAACCGGGAATGCAAAATACCGTAATTCACTTACCAAACCGAATTTCAAAAAAATTTTCAAATTTTTATTTTTTCAACATAAAATAAATATTAAATATATATCAAGTTGGGTGGTATGGCATTATCAATATCACCTTCTTTGAAATTGTCATCTATAGATTTTTAAAAAAAATCATTACTATTTCGTCTAATATATATATATGTGTGTGTGTGTGTGTGTGTGTGTGTGGAGTGTTGTCCCAAAACAAAAAAAAACACACAAAATAGGTGTGGAGCTGTGCGGACACTCCGCATAGAATACTGTTGTAATACTATTGTAATTGTAAAAATAATTTGGAATCCTTTTCTTATATCATAAAAATATTTTTAAATATCATTTCCAAAACTTTCGAAAAAATAAAATTTATACACTAATAAAAATACGATAAATACAAAATTCGTGTAAGGCACGTGACGATGCCTTGTAGATTAGAAAAGTAAGAAAATTTAGTTTTGGGCTTCAATGGAAGTGCTATTTATGACATATCTTGAAAAAAAAAATTAAAATTGGTTTGGGCTTCAATGGAAGTGGGCCATGAGTAGGCTACGAACCCAGTTGTAACTCTCTTGTAACTTCCGTCCTTTTTGTGGTGTTCGATAACCCAATTAAAAACCTATCTCCATGCTGTCATTCATATCCGACTAACTCAACCGGTAACCATGATTTAAGTCTATTCATGTAGCACAGAACAGAACTGAGGGGACAAGCGGCTTAAGGGTCTAGGGTTTCCTTGGCAGCAACTTATCTTGTGTTGCAGTGATTTCTATAAACTTCTTGATCACCAAAGTTGGAAGGTAGTATCAGATTTTCTCGGCAATATCTCTTGAATTTTTGATGTGATTGTTTCAAGTGTAATCGGTGAATACCCAGGACCCAAAATCTTTTTATGCATTAACTTGTACTTCTTCTCTGTCTCCTTCCTTCTTCATTTTTTTTTGTTCCCCTCCTCTTCTCAGTCTTGGCACTATCCTTCAAAATTAAATGTTCGGGTTCGCTGGTTATAGAGATTTTTCTGCATTATTTTCAGCAATCCTTTCCGCTTGGTGCTAGCAGACCGTTCTTCCTATAAATCGATTAAAAACCAGGTTGAACTGAGTACAACCATCTGCTTGAACCCGGACTGATCCTGGTTTTGTATAAAATTTTATACTTGCAGCTGATAAATAAGGAAGTTCACAACAATCCTCTCCTATCAAGTTGGAGCCTTTTTCCACTAGGTCAAGTGAATTGTTGTGTGAAGTTGGAATTAAAATTTATAATAACTATACTTTTTGCATACTTTCTTTCCCTGATTATAGTTAAAATGATTTAAAACATTTTTTTTTAAAAATCGAATGGGAAAAAACACTTCATATGATGTAAAGACATCAAGAAGCTCGCATTGTAATTTATTTATTTATTATTCAAAATTCAATTCAAAAAACTATATTTTGGCTAAAGTATTGATCCAACACTTACTCATCCGTTGAATCACTGACCTTCTACCACTGACGCGGTCGGTTCTGAGTACTATTAGAATCTGCATATCTTTGCTGAACTTTCAAATTGTTGCTTGAATTTATCTAAATTTATGCCAAATGAATTTTTTTTTTCTGAGTTGATAGAAAAATATGCTCTTTTATCATATATATCTTGCGTTTCACTTTGAATGAAGCTCATGCTTCTCAATTTATGCTTTCTGCAATGTCTGTACACATACAGTAACTGTGGGTCTGGGTGCTTTCATGAGCTTTTGAGCTGATTATTGGTTGTTAATTCAGGAGATGTGAAAAGGTGAATGATCGTAATTAGGCTTAATGTGTCAACTCAATGGGATTTGTATATATTTTCTGATATATTGAAATTATTCTAATAATATCAGTTGGCATGTGCATTGATGATTGTGGACTCTTTCGAGTTACCATTTTATAAATAATGTTTAGGAACAATTCATTGCGTTTTCTGTCATTTCAAAAGTTCTGTGCGGTTTGTTTCTCTGCATTCTAATAGGGACTGTAGTCCTCTTTCTATTTTTATTTTTATTTTATTCTTTATCACATGCTATTCTACTTAATCATTTAAGTGAAGCTATCATTTTTATGCGGGAATTTTTTGTACAGTAATGGTAGCTCCCAAAAATAAAACGAAAACGAAATCACAAAATCCTCATCCTAGAAAGAAGCAAAAGAAAGTACATTTAGCAAAAGAACTAGAAAGAAAAGACCTCCTTGATGATTCTGATGGAGTGGATGAAGAAGTAAAAGAACACGAAGAATCTGATGAAGAAGAACAGGAATTCTATTCGGACTTGGATATGTCATCAGATGGGGATGATCCTTTTGCAGATGATATTCTCAAAGGAAGTGATGATGAAGGTATCCTCTTTCCATTGGATCTTTATTTGGAGGTTTATCTCTTCTCCTGAACTTATCACATTTGCTGGATCATTTGTTTAGAGGAGGCTTTAGATGTAGATTCAGATTCAGATTCAGATTCAGATTCTGATTCTGATTCTGATGCATCTGATATTGAGACAAAAGCAAGAGCAATTGATGAGGAAAAGGAGAGGGTAGAAGAAGAAGCGGAGGCTGAATTGCAGCTCAATATTAAAGAAGAGGCGGATGAGTTCCGATTGCCAACCAAGGAGGTTTAGTTAATTGGATACTTCTGCATTGCTTTTATGAGTTTTATTATTAGTCATTGGCTGAAAACATTTTGCCAAGTTTAATTTGAACTGTTTCTACAAATACATAGGAGCTTGAAGAAGAAACACACAGACCCCCAGATCTTTCGAATCTCCAAAGAAGGATAAAAGAAAGTAAGTTCAGTTTCCATGAATTTTCTTAATTATGTTTTCGTTTTAAATTGAAATTCTTTACTATCATTTCTCTTTTCTTTTACCAAGTCCTTTGAATTCGGTTGATCTGTTTCAGTTGCGCGAGTCCTTTCGAATTTTAAGTCTTTGAGGCAAGACGGAGCAACACGAAAGGATTATGTTGATCAACTTAAATTGGATTTAAGTTCTTACTATGGATACAATGAGTTTCTAATTGAAGCTTTGGTTGAGGTTAGTTGCCAGATTGTGAATGGTCAACTCGTTTTGTTTCATTTTCTGTCTTTTTGGTGCTGAGGTTGTATTCACATGTGGAATTTTGTGATTTTTATTCAGATGTTTCCAATTGTTGAACTTATGGAGCTCATTGAAGCTTTTGAGAAGCCTCGTCCAATATGTCTTAGAACAAACACTTTGAAGGTGAACTGGATTATATTTCTTCTTTAGTGCTTTGGTTTGTTACCCATGCAATGGTCCATCAATCACACCATTTTGATATGCTTTCCTTTGGTTTGAATTCAGTCTCGCAGGAGGGACTTGGCTGGTGTGCTTTTGAACAGAGGAGTCAACCTCGATCCATTAAGCAAGTGGTCAAAAGTAAGAGTTACTATATTTTTGTTCTACTCTGTATCTAGTTCAAGGGACAATATTGTTTGTGTTTTGTAGGTTGGCTTGGTGGTTTATGATTCACAAGTGCCAATTGGGGCCACTCCGGAGTATATGGCTGGGTATTATATGGTATCTTCTGATCCTAAAATTTACAATCCTAGTTTTAAGTATTAAAGCAAAGCTGACAGTCTATTTGTTGGCAGCTTCAAAGTGCTAGCTCTTTTTTGCCTGTAATGGCCCTTGCTCCTCAGGAGAAAGAAAAAATTGTAGATGTGGCGTAAGTATATGTTAGCTATCTCAAGTTGCAATTTTCATCCATCTTTTCTTAGTTTCTACTAACTTCTGTTTCTATCTCTTTAACCCCTTTAAGTTGTGTGGGCACCCTCTTTTTTTTAATACTTTTATTGGAAGTTGAAGGGATTCATATTTTTATTTTTTTCCCTTACGTCTAGCTCTTTTTTTCACCACCCAATCTCTAATGCTTTCTTTTTTCTTTTTCTTTTTTTTTTCTTTTTTTACACGTCTACTTCTTATCTGGTCTTTTTTTGCTATACATATTTAATTAATTTGAGTAGCTTCTTATGCAATTGCAGCATAACGGATGAATTAAGATTTTTTCTGAAGATTCAAACTTGATAGTTATAATCAGTTGAAATACGTAATCCTTTGTCTTATATTATGTTGCTGAGAGTTTTTATCTTGTATAAATCTCTGTTAGGTTGAAATTTTATGTTCTTAAACATGCTTGTAAGAGGATGGTTGATAAGCACATGGTGACATGGTTGTTTGAGCGTTTCACGTATTTATATTTGTATTTCTTGTGAAATGGTTGAAATTTTCCCCATGTTGACACAATTTGCGCATTTGTAGGGCTGCACCTGGTGGTAAAACGACTTATATTGCTGCACTAATGAAAAACAGTGGTAAGTGGCTATCCCACTGCTAGTGTTGTATGTCAATGGATGGGAACATGAGAAAAATTTCATGACTTTTGATTTCTTCTTCGTTGCATGAATGATTGATAAATGAACGTGGCTTTGGAGTAGGTTTTTTCTTGCTAGCCATGTTATTTTGCCTCTTCCATGGACCCCCTTGTTTTATGCTACACCAATGATCTATCAGAGCTTCTTCTGGATGTTGTTTTCATTTCTTTATATGTTCAGAAAGTTTGATTGTAATATTTATGAATAATGTTATTCACAATGAAGACTATCGGTAGTCACCCTACTTGGCATATATGTGACAATTTGTTATTTGATACATTAACAGGTAGTTTTTTATCGCTTCATGCATTAAATAACAAACTGTCACATGTATGCCATGTAGGACGATTACCGATAGTCTTCACTATGAATATCATTACTCATTATTTATTCAACAATTTGCCGGTGATCCTACTTCCCAGCCTCCATCCCTGGAAAGTAAATTCTACTGCCCTAAGAATTGGAAAATAGATCCACACATGGTATTATTTATGTACAGCGCACTCTCTCTTTTATGGCTCTTTGGCCACTGTTAATGAAAAATGTTCAAACTGTGATATGCCCATTTCTGATGCCGGTATTCGATTCTTTAATTTAATACCTTTGGGACGGGGGTTTAGTTTTGCCGATCAGTGGATATTGTAACAAAGTGTAGTGTAATCCAGAATTCACCTGGTAAATCAGCATGCTGTTTTTTTCATATTTTTATATACAGTTGTACTATTCTTAGTTGCACTTAGGGCATTTCTATCATTAATTAAAAAAGGTAATTTTTATGCGGAGAGCATAATATAGATTTAGCCTCAGTTTGGGAAGAATATAAAGACAGTTTAAGTTATAAATAGATAGAAATGAGTGTTGGATAAGTTGATAGTACTCATGAGTCTTTTGGAATGAGTAGTTGAAAATGAAGTTTGACCATATATAAATTTTGATGAAGTTTGACCATTTATAAATTTTGTCAAGCGGAGGTTGGCTTGTAGAATTTTTTAAATTGGCTATTGGCAAGGAATTGATATATGTTTGCACGACTTGTCGCAACTTTTCCTGTTCCTTTTCTTTAATTACAAAGTCTATTTGACTCAAAATCATATGGCTTCTTGCAGAATTATATTTGCTAATAGCACAATGACTGCAAACTTTTGTTATAAAATTGTATGCCCAGTGTAGTCAACATGATGTTTTAACATGGTTTCTCCTGAAAAAGGTATCATTTATGCAAATGAGATGAAGGAGTCAAGGCTCAAATCCCTTACTGCAAATTTACATCGCATGGGGGTAACAAACACCATTGTTTGCAACTATGATGGGAGGGAGGTTAGGATCTTCCCTCATTGTTCCTGAAATTTCTTCAAACAATTTTATAACTTCTGTTTCCACTGGTAGTTTTCTTCATCTAACTCCCCCAACTGACCCCCAGATGCAGACACACGTGCGAGCACATAAAGAAAGAAAAACAAAAAAACCGATAGGAAAAAATGTCCTTCCTCTTGCTAAAGTATATCTTGCAACTGTGTTTTGCATTACGACCATCATATCCTTGTACTATAATGCTGGTGTGATGCAAATCTTCTTTTGTTTAAAAAAGATCCTCTCTTTCCACATCTTTATTCATGGTGACAATGATCCCAAAAGTGTTATTTAAAGGCTTTGAGCACCTAGAAGAAACTGAAGAAATTAATACCATTGCTTACCTTTCCTATTTCCTTACCTTTCTAATCAGGCTTTCATATTCTTTCTATAATTCTTTCTTTCATTTATGATTGTATTGTCCATAATTCTGGTGGATCTGACATATCTCTTTTCCTTTATAATTTAACTTTAGCTGCCAAAAGTATTAGGCAACAACACTGTTGACCGGGTTCTACTGGATGCTCCTTGCAGTGGCACTGGGGTATGCAGTCAAGCTTAATTTTGAATTTCCATGAAAGATTCTTTTTGCACTCACTGTAGAACAAATTTTTGATGTGGTTATTCTCATTTTAGGTCATATCTAAGGATGAGTCTGTGAAAACCTCAAAAAGCGCTTTAGATATACAAAATTGTGCTCATCTGCAGAAGGTATGGTTTCTTGTCATGGTGTAATATATGTTTTACGTTCAGAAAGTTATGTTTTACCACATTTATCAGAAGGATATCATTTTTTAATATTCATCCCCTATGCTTGACCATGAGTCGTGGAACCTTGAAGAATAATTAGAAATATTTTACATAACACCAGTAGTTTCTAAATACAACTTAAATATGCTAAGGACATGTTATCAGAATTTGGGATTAGCAAGTATACTGGTAGTAAGAGACACCTCTGATGTCATTCTGTTGGGGGGTTTATCCTGTTTAGTTAATTGTTTCCTAACGTTCTTGCCATACTTGATTCATTTTAGATGTCCCCAATATGGATTTATAATAGAAAACTTTTAATCTTTAATCTCTACTAACGTATGCTTTTGGAACCTCATTTGTCTTTAAATATTTGCAGCAATTAATACTTGCAGCAATAGACATGGTGGATGCCAATTCAAAATCAGGGGGATACATTGTTTACTCCACATGCTCCATAATGGTTGCTGAGGTTTGTTACATTGTTTCTGTCTCTCAAGTCCTTGAATGCCTTCTATTTTTTTCTTTCTGAAGGCTGGAATTTGCAGAACGAGGCTGTTATAGACTATGCTCTCAAGAAGAGGAATGTAAAACTTGTGCCATGTGGACTTGATTTTGGGCGTCCAGGGTATTACCTAGCCAGAACTCATTTGTCAAATCATCGTTGCAATTGCATGATTAGTCTCACAACATTTCTTTTGTATTCTAGATTTATTCGCTTCAGGGAACACCGTTTTCATACTTCATTAGAAAAGACAAGACGTTTCTATCCCCATGTTCACAACATGGATGGATTCTTTGTGGCAAAGGTATGCCTTATTATGGAGAATGATTTGGGATGATTTGGTTTTGGGTTAATTGCTTTATTATGCACTTCAGGCTGAGCCCTTTTTTTTTTTTTTTTTTTTTTTTTTTTTTTTTTATTTACTACGCCATTTTGGGGCAAATCGTATTGAGTGTCATATATCTGTACTACATGATAAAACAAACAATACAAACTGTCTAGTTGAGTTGTCAATAATCCGACTTTCCGATCATTAATTTCAGATCTTTACTGGATTTATGTTGTAAATGCTTCAATAGGTACAGAATTCGTATGTTCTTAAACCTATTTTGTTGTACCTCCTCCTGAATGGTCACTGAGTATGTTGAGGCATACCTCCAGACATCTATGCATTACGCCAAACTTTGACCTGTCATCCCCCCTTCTCTTTTCCGCTGATTTGTGAATTTATTCTATAATTACTTTGCTTTAAATACTACATTACCCCAACTGACTTGTGTAACCAAGAGCTTAGCTTTGTTTCCTATTCTTTCATTTATATTTTCTTTTGGATAAAGGTTTCGTTTGGTTAGGATTGCTGGATTGATTGTGATCATAAAAAATGTACATTCTGCAATAATCAGTTGAATATCTAGATGTTGCCCAGGCAGTTGTTTGCACTTACACCACTACCGCACAATATCTGCAATCTTCAAATTGCATAATCCATTTTTGTTTGCAGTTAAAGAAAATGAGCAATTCCAAGCCAACTCCAAATCCCTCCGAACCTCCAGAAGTGGTGGAGCAAGGACCTGAGTTGATGGAGAGCAATGGCCAAAGCAATGGTGAAGGAAATATCCACCAACACTCGAAGAAAAAGGAGGTGGCTAGAGAGCATAGGAAGTTGAGCAATGGTTCTATTAAGGGCGGGAAAGCAGAAAATCCACCAGTCGCAGAAAAGAAAATGAAAACGAAACTCCCCTCTAGAGAAGAAATTGCAAGAATCAGGTACTCCATCAGCTGGAAGTTAACATAATGGCTAAATTTTTGTTGATGATATAAGATTAGCTGTGCAGTTCAGTGTAGCCTTTCTCACATCCTATTTTATTTTGTTTCTCGTTTTTCTTGGGAAAAAAATGTTCAGAGAAGAGAAGAGACAAGCTTTAAGAGTAGCGAAGAGAAAAGGTAAGAGGAATGACTGAACTGCGGACTGACTAATTTGCAGCTTACAGCAGAGTGCACGCTTAGTTGGGGAATCCATAAAACAGTAAGTCATCCAGTGGTGGATTTTTTTATTTTTTTTAAATTTATTTTTAGCTAATTTATGCTATAAACAGTTCCGAGACAACACTCAGTGTATGTACTAATTAATATTGTAACCTCAAGCGATCAAATTATTGTCATAGACCGAGCGTTTTTCTGAAACTACGTCAATTTTGGTGCTCAAAGAATCAAAATATTGTTTCGCCGTTCTTGGTATTGCTATAAAAATCTTGATTTGTATTCATTTTCCCCTTGATATGTTCCATTCACTTTCATGCATGGTAGTGGTTTGGGAGAAAATTCAGTTTTTAGCTCATTGATGGTTACAGAAAATTCTAGTCTGATCATGAAATAACAGCACGAGAAGATTGTTATTCTTATTTTGAAGGATATGTTCAGTAGCTGACACACTTTTTAACATAAACTTATCTCAAAATGTCTGGTAATAAAAAATTTACTTTTTTTACTCTTCTTCTAATAGTAATCAAAACAAAAAACAAATAAAAATGCTGGACAAGGCATGGGCTTCTCACGCAGACGCTCGTTAACAAAACATTTGAATGTGTATTGTTTGTCATATAAAAATGTGACAAAAGTATTAAGAACGTAAAAGTCTTAAAATGAGCAAAATTTAATTTATTTTTCTCTCCTCTCTTATGAATTTCACATTCTCTTAATAAAATAATATTATACGTAAATACAAAAAAAAATTCCTAGTTTTTTATTACACATTTTTCAAAATGCTGTTGCAAAATCAAATTTTTCAAATGATTGGAGCTCAAACAAGGACTTGTTACGATCAAAACATGGTGCATGTGACTAGTAGTATAGCGTGAATATTTGTGCAGCTACCATTTTTTACCTGGAAAGGGGTAGGGGAGTTCCACTTTTCCTTGTGGTAAAAGAAAATTTAATGGCCCAAAAATGCTTCCTTATGCTGGGCAATCTATTAATTATGGAGGGAAGATTTTGTTTGGAGACAGTAGACAGGATGCTCTATTTGGAAAGTATAACAAAAATGAGATACGTGCAAGAATATTTATTCTTGGTACGAACTTAACAATTTCATTTAAAAACCCCCTCTAATGATACAATTTTGGGGTTCCTCTTTTAACATTTCGTTAACCCCTTAAATACTTTTTCAATATCAGTGTTACCAGTTGTATGTCGTGTGCCACCCGGAGCCGGCTCTGACAATTCGGAGGCCCTAAGCGGGTCGGCAATCTTGAGGCCCCATATTTTGTTTTTCTACACGTATAATAATATTTAAATAAAAAAATATCTATATTTAAATGAAAAAATTGTACAATCTAAAATATAGAATTGCTAGATAAATTATCATTTACAATCCGAGAGATTAGGTTAGCATCATATTTAGTCTTCTCATGTTTTGAGATGCAAAATTAGTAATCAAACAACTCAAATCAAGTTTTTCCGACATTTTTTTTTTCAATAGAAATCATAGCTAACACATTCAACCTCTCTTGTGACATGGTTGATCGAAGATAAGACTTAATCAATTTTAACTTTGAAAAACTTTTTTCAACAAACGCAATAGTGACTGGGATAGTCAATAATATCCTGTAAGCGATCCAAGCATTTGCAAAACAACAATTCATTCCCTTAATGTAATCTAACACATCAACTGCTCCATTAATTTTTATAGATATTGCTTCCCTTAAAATATTCAACTCAGAAAATAATTTCATTCCATCGATATCAGATACTGTGTTATGCTTCAAATAATTTTCAAGATTAATGCAACGACACTTCAATGTAGCATCATCAATGGATTTAAGCTTTTCCAAATAAAATAAAAAAATCCAAAAATATCATCATATTCTTGAAATTGTTCAAATCCATTTTGAAGCGATGATAGAGCTTGATCTACTACATATAAGAAATAATTGACCCTGAAAAATTCTTCAACTGTTTCTATCATCTCTTCACAAGAAATCTCATCAAACTACTTCTTTCTTCGTATAACTCTTTTTTCACGAAATATTGGTTCAATGTCTAATTTACTTGTAGTCTCTTTAACATCGATCACGATCGATTCAAACCTAGATTCTCTATAGCTTTTGAAAAATGAAATGAGCCTTTTTAAATGGTCTATAGCAATGTCAATATGGATGTCCTTTGTTTGCAAATGTTTGCTTACTCTATTAACATTATTCAACACTTCATACCAAATAACTATCCTAAGTAAGAATTCAAAATTTTCTATTTCATATGTTGCCAAACACTTCGCCTCACTTTTTGTCTTAGGATCATCAACTCTTGCCACTTCAAGTAGAGCATTTATTATTTGTGGAGCTTGGAATCTTATTGCTCTAATACTTTCAACATGACTTTCCCAACGTGTTTGAGACAAAGGATTAAGAGCAAGGCCATTTACATTGTCTTTAAAAATTTTCCATCTTTTAGTAAATGATGAAAATAGAGTGTATAGATTTAGCTTTTGTACAACAAGTAGCCATATCACAAAGTGCAAGATTGAAACTATGACACCCACAAGGAGTGTAAAATGCTCTAGGATTTACTTCTAGTAGTCTATTCTGTACCCCTTTATGTTTTCGTTTCATGTTAGCACCACTATCATATCCTTGACCCCTTATATTATTAATATTGATTTCTAGATTATTTAACGCATTCACTAATTCATCAAAAAGTCCCTTTTCATATGTATCATCCACCAATAAAAATCCTAAAAAGAATTATTCTACCTTCACTGGACTTGTTGAAATATCAACACACCTCAATACTATAGACATTTGTTCTTCGTGACTCAAATCTGGAGTGCAATCAATTATCACAAAAAAGTACTTGGATTCTTTGAGTTTCTCGATGATTATTTTCTTGATCTCACCCGCTAGCATAAGTATCAATTCATTCTGAATTTTTAATTCAAAATAATGATAATGACTTTCTTTATTTTGAATTCGACGAATATGCTCTTGCATTACAGGATCAAACTCAACAATCATTTGAATTAAGCTTGAGAAGATACCACTATTTTCTTGGTATATCTCCTCATTATCTCCACGAAACGCCAAATTATTTTCTGCAAGAGTTCTAACCACAGATATTATTCTTAATAATACTTGTCTCCAATGTTCTCTATCCTTATTAATCTGTTACTGCACACTTTTATCAATTGTTTGTTTCTTTTGAAATCTTATTTCCATTTCGATCCATCTACTCATGTTAGTGACATGGTCATAACTCATTTCATGTCTTCTTAGTTTTTTACCAATATTTTTCCAATCATTCGCACCATCATGTGCCAATTGAGTTTGAACCCCATCATTCTTGAATAGCTTACAACAAAAACAACATATTTTATCCAGAATTTTTGAATATATCAACCGCTTTCTATTATGATTCTCTCCATTGGGTAATCGTCGAGTGTAATGAACAGAGGAGAAGTGTCGATTAGCTACATCTTTTGGAAAAAATTACATCATTATCTCTTACTGGATCTTTCATTACGATTAAATCTCTTAAATTCTGATTCATGTTTTCCCAATTTGCTGGATCACTAATCTTTTCATTGATGTTTCTTTCTTTCATCCATAACATCATCCTCGATAAACATCTCTTCATTCACCAAACAATGATTTTTTCAATTGCATTATCGTCGATATCATTCTTATTAAACTCTTCTTCGGGAACCACATCGTCATTATGTTTTTGTTTACTACCACTAAAAATTTTATCAAGAGCTCCCTCTTGAGATTTAATCAATTTTTCAACCTTTTTATGCCGTTTTCTTTTAAAATATCTAGATTCAAATTTTCTAGTGGACATAATTAAAGCAAAATAATGATAGAACCTGATTCAAAGTTCGAATTAAAAATATCCCAGATTCTCAAATATGCCAAGTGTAGGAGTTCAAAATCAACTTGCAAGAAATAACCAAATAACATTTAAAATACGCTTAAGCAATACCAACGTAAATGATGAAAAAATGCATTGTTTCTTGAAGTGCATCATTTGGAGAACAAATTACAAACCTAACCTATGGTTCGCGTTGATTTTTAAAATTTATCAAAATTTCAATTAAAAACACCTGGTTAGGTTCTAATTAAAAAAAATCTTGTTTTGTGAGATATTTTTCGAAGTGGAAAATAATACAAATATCCCCAACAGTATTTACTTAGAGTATTCCGAATGGCGAATGGCATTTACTAATAACACAAATTTATATAATAATTTTGTTTAGGACGCTGATAGAACTAATTATTAAGAGTAAAACAAATAAAAACATTCAGATAAATAACACTAAAAAGTCGCACTTACTATGAAGTAAAAACAAAAAACCCTTTCTTAGGCTATGTGTGCAAAGCTTAAACCAAACACAGATGAGCTCACATTTTTCTGCTTCAAAACTTAATTGAAGGTCTCTCTATATCACATAATATAGTTTATTACAGCTTTCTATAAATATTGTATTTTAAGGGTTTTTGTTTTGAATTTTTTGTTTTTTTGAAATTAAAGCTTTCCAAGAATCGGTAAGTGTCGATGAGAAACTGGAATGGGAAGGTTGTGGTGGATATTAGATAGTTCTATTAGACCATTTCACTATTACAAAGATGGCAAGGAAATGCCTGGGAAGAAATGTTTCTTTTTTCTCTTCCTTTCATAAACAAGTAAATAAAATTAAATCCAAGATTCCAAATCAACTGTATCTTGTGTTATTTATAATTTATCTTGTTTTATTTATAACTTGTTTAGAAAGGGGAAAAATGCATATGTATGATTCCTAGTTATCTCAAATTAGGGTGAAATTGCAATCAAATTTCAGAGGGATCTCAACGAGGATTGTGGAGAACCCAAACTCCCAAAGCGTAGAATGGAAATTGTCGACGACGTTGTAGCATTAGAAATTGCTTTGCTTGGGCCGGAGTCACTTTTTGGCTGGAGGCTTGGCGCTGGTCTCTAGATTCTAGAAGCACTAAAGGTCCGAAGAAGAGGATTGAAAGGACGTCGAAGTGTCGAATACTCCAATTGAAAAGATACAGAGGCTGAAAAGATACATAGGCTGAGGCGGTTGTGTATGTATAGTCCAGGACTCCAAGCCCAAAACGATCCCAAACCATTTTTTTTATTTTGGAACTAATTTGGATTTGGAGGCCCTGGGCCCAAGCCAAAATTTGGAGGTCCTAGGCGGTTGCCTAGGTAGCTTGGCCCAAGGACCGGCCCTGGTGCCACCATTCACAATGGCCATTCGCTGTTACTCTCCGTTACGATTGAAGTTCCACCACGTCTTCACCGTTGTAAAATATGTTGTCACAAGGAGGAGAATGGAGAAGGAATAAGAATTAAAACCAGGAAGATAAATTATGAAAAAGAAGGCCTGAACGTGTTATCGTTGCCTTCAAACGATATTTGCCCCTCTCGAATAAAATTTAGATGCTTGAAGGGATTTGGCAAATGATTTGCAAGATTTATCAAGCCTTGACAAGGATCTTGTTGGGAATCTACTTAACATGCACGGCAAAAAATTAAAACAGTTTTCGATTCCCGTTAAGATTCATCTTTGTGTTTAAATAGAAATTGTGATAAAGATGTACCTTTTACAATATCTATAAACTCCTTTGTCATATCTTTGTTCCAACAACTTGTATCTGTCTTTCACAGCTGTCCAATTGTCTAGTCTCCAACGATGATTCACACAAAGAACAAGATCGCAGGATTAGGATTTTCTTCTTGTGCTAGCAAGAATAATGAATTCTCTCTCGATCCGTAAACCCTAATAACTTATTTATATGAGCCCAAACGGGCCTGGCCTAACCCTGTCCTGTATTTAATTAACTCATTTAATTAAATTCGGTCCGTGAATTAATTAATCCAATTAATTAATTCAGACTTATAAATAAGCAACCCAATTAATTAATTTATCCAACGTTTGTTGAATTAATTAATTGATAAATTGCAATCTTCCAATTTTCTTTTGTGCGTGACCCATCAGGTTCTCGATCACGATGTCTAACGATGTGAAATATTATTTTGATCTAATCAAAATTATAAATTAAAACAACCTTTTAATTTATCACCAATTCACACTCGACGTCCAAGATTTACATCTAGTAATGTGTAAGGACAATACATGTGACGGAAATGTCATGTGGTATGACAAAACCAAACTCGTTCGTTTACCGTAAAACTATAATCCTTTCGTCAATATGATCCGATCAATTTACGAGTTTTGGAAGTGTGTCAATCTCGATTACCGATTATATCTTTCACTCTACTATTAAGTCAATATAAGTCGAAAACTCCTTTTCGACTTATGAGTACACCTTGACCAAGAATTTCGTTATCGATTTAATTGAATAAAACGCAGATCATAATCTCTTATTATCTAAGAGTGACGAATCATCTATTGATCATTCACAACCTTCACACGATTCTTAACATACCCGAACGATGCCGTATTAGCGGCCCTTGGCAGAGCAACATCCAATACCGCCAAAGTATGACTAACCTCATATAAGGTACCATGACGACCTCAAGTCAAATGACCAATTCGACTACCGAATGTTAGAGATTAACCACTGACATCAGATAGTTATCCATGTGGAATCTCTCGATGGGTCTCCAATGTTTTGTTCAATAATAAAACATCCACGTGTTCATTTAAGTGTCACAACACTATAGTTTGTGAGATCAGATACTTACTTCACAAGTAAGAAATGTCACACATGATGGTCTATCCGTATCTCGTTTTACTTACGACCACGAACGATTTAAGATTCAACATATGTAATTTATATTTCACAATCACAACTCCTTGTGATTAACAAATTACGAAGATTTGAATCTACAGTCTCTATTATTTAATTTAATTGTCTATTATTTACATAATAGATTTGCCATTAAATCACATTAATTATATATTAAAAGAATTTATGTCCAAGGTTAATTGAACTTAGAGCACAACACTTACAAACTCCCACTTGCACTAGATCCAATCACTTATGTATCAATATCATAAGAGTTAAGTCTTTGTTAGTGGATCTACAATATTGTCAAATGTGGAAATTCGTTCTTCTCTTTAGTCATTTCTATGTATTATCTTTCTAATGAGATTATATCGTCTTAATACATGTTTGGATCATTGATGAGATTTTAGTTCCTTCACTTTTGCAGTGGTTCTATCGTTATTACAATACAATGGTATGTGATCAATAATATTAGGAACAACTCCAAATTCATTAATGAACATCTTAATCCACATTGCAACTCTTTACTGCTTCTGAAGCAATCATGTATTAGGTTTCCGCTATTGAATTAATGATTGTTTCATGTTTGGAACATTTCCAACATACCGTTTAAGAGTAAACCAATTTCTCCATATAAAATCTTCTCAAGATTTTATCTATATAGATTGGAATGAGTTAAGCACTCATCTAGATCTATCTCTATAGATCAAGTTGCTTCCCCATATCGTTCAAGAATAAATCCTTTAACAACAACAATTTCAACGATTGAAATGTAGGGATGTCGTTTCCTATTAATAATATATATTACATATAATATTAGGAATGCGACAATGCTCCCACTATCTTGTTGTAAATACACAATTCGTCTTCATATTTGATAAAATAAAACCCTTTGATTTTGCATCAAATTGAAGATTTCAACTCCAAAAGACTTGCTTTAACTCATAGTCACAGTATGCAATAATTGCAACTAAAACCCGAATGGACTTGGGTAAAACTACAGGATAAAATTTCACCAAGGTCAACACTTAACATTTTGCTACTAACCTTGCTTTTTATGTATGGATATTTCTATCCATGTCAACCTTTTATTGTAAACCATTTACAACCTATGAGTTTTATCCCATCAGGAGGGTCGACCAAGGTGCAAACCTTGTTCACATACGTCGAGTTCATCTCGAGTTTCATGACCTCTTGCTATCTCTTTTAAGTCAACATTTGACTTTATTTTTGTGCAATTAGTAGATTCATCATCCTGAGTCAGCAATGCCTGATTAATAATCATGGATTCTCACCTTCATAAAGGTCAAATGATCCTACTAGATTCACATAAAGCTTACAAGTCCTCAGGAGGCTCTACTTCCTGATCAAGAGTATGTCCCATATCAAATATGGGATCAAACTCGAATTCATCTACTTGGTTAACTATATTTGTGGACTCTTGAACTCTTTCAAATTCTATTTTGCTCCCACTGTCCTCTCCTAAAGTAAACATTTTCTCTAAGAGGGCGATATGTCGTGAGACGAAAACTTTCTTCTCAATGGGTTAATAGAACTGATATAGAAATAACTGCTTTGAATATTCCACAAATACGTATTTATCAGATTTAGTCTCAAATTTATCCGATTCAATGTACTTCAAATAAGCGTCACAATCCCAAACTTTCATATGAGATAAGTTGGGACTATTGCCTTTCCATAACTTGTACGAAGTTCTGTTAACCAACTTAGATGAGACATGATTTAGTGTATAGCACACTGCAATCAGTGCATGACTCCAAAACGATTTTGGGAGATTTACATGGCTCATTATTAATCGCACTATATCTAATAGTTAACAATTCCTCCTTTTAAATATACCACTATGCTACAATGTAT